TTCATGATATGTCCATTCAATTGGTGGTGATAATTGCATCGTAAAGGTTTGGATCTTTTTGCTAAACGTCTATTTCTTAAAATTTTTTTTTTTTTTTTGTTAACTTTTCAAAAAATTTCGATTATTCTATCAGGTTTATTTACAACAAATTTTTTCACTTGAAAAATTCGAAAAATGTTCCATTCTATTTTGGAATTTTTTTTGTAAACACAGTCTGTTTTTGCAGAATTTTTTCTGAACGATTCGATATATCTTATCAAATTTAGCTCTTGTTTTTTTTACAAAATTCAATCAAATATGTTTTTGTAAACATGAAAGCAAACATTAGATAAATACTATCAATGTGTATTTAAGAAAAAAAATGAAATCTTAAGTGAAACAAATGAAATTATTGTTTAGTTTATTCTATCCAACCAATAATTACCTAAGCATTTGTTTATGGCCGTGTCTAGCACAAGGTAATTCAATGAATGAAAGATGCAATGCACAAGTAATCCAATGATTTCTCTTGGAGATTCCAGAAGAATTCGACATCAATTAATAATTATCCATTTCCGATTTTTATTTATAAAAGAGTTGAAGATAAGAAAGTTTTTACTAAATCTTAAAAATAAGCCAAAAGACAAACCTTTTGCTGAGGTAGAACTGAAGGTAATTTGCATAATTAAAACAAATGTCAAAAATTTCCACATATTTCTTAGTTGATTTCAAAGATTGGACAAAAAATGTATCGACAAAATGACAAGAGACAACGATTGAAGGATAGGAATCGTTTGAACTAACCGATATTATCGATATTTTATACTTTGTATGACAATTGTTAAAAGTTTATGAGTTAAAAGAAAATTGTTATCTTTGACTTTTATACTATTTTGTATGTAAAAAATGATTAAAGAATATGGTAGAAAAAAAAAGAGAGGATAAAATAAGGAATGAAATGGATGGAATAAAAACGACACAAAAAAAAAAGATTGAAAAAATTCTTTGCAAATAGTTTTGATATTTGTTGAATGTTTTATTAAAAGTTGTAAATGTCACCACGGAAAATACCAGAAAAACTTTAATTGCTTCATGCACAAACAAAAATTTCGATCAATTGGAAATTTTAGCAAATTTCAATAATTAATCCGAAACGATTATGTTTTAGATTGCTTAATTACGATATTATTTAGCTTCAAATCATTGCATAGTTTATTTTTAAATTTTTCCTCAAATTAACACGTAATCTTAGAAATCGTTTTTGTTCGCTCGATACTCTTTGTCTCGTTTTATTATTTGATCTTGATGTCGCCGACAATCTCTGCAATTATTGGTGACAATTGTTTTATCAAGTGAAATGTTTGTTATTCATGTAAATAATTTTGATTATAAATAATGCTAAATGGTCTATTGCACGTACTATTTGTCATTATTTTCATTAAAATACTATTATCATTGGCATAATTATAATCATTTGGAGACAATCAAAATATGACATCAACTTTTTTGGCTCAAAAATCTTCTACGTTTTCATTTTTTCTGTGAAAAAAGATTTCTGTCCTTTTTATTTTGCACAAAACTTGACAATTAAACAAATTTTACAGTATTAAATGGAGGAGGGATCGTTGACAGGAAATAATGCTTGCAACACTAACTTACCTAATTACTAATATCCTTGAATTGGACTACGATAACACTCTTAAAGTATCATTCGAGTGGATCCATAACTCGTACTGTATAATCCAAATTCAGGTTTCATGAATAACAATGAATGAAATTATTCAATAACACAATTTTTAATTTACATAATTTTAGATTTAAACATACTTACAAAGCATATTTACCATTTTTAATTATAAATTTGTTATTGAAACCATTCAATCACTTAATCAAATTTGCTTTTTTCAATCATCATTTAAGCCATCTAATTGTTTACAAATGAAGAATGACAACACTTTGTCAACTAAAAGTTGTTAAATAATGACATATTTCTAGTGAAATGTCACGTATAATTCAACATTTCATTGCACTACGACATACAGTACCAAATATTAGAATGATCCACACCTCTTTGTTTTATAATTACATGCTTAATTAGTGCGAAAAAAAAAAGGATCATTGTCAATAGACCAACAGACAATGAAATAGTAGCTAAGAGACAACAAGAGTACATAAAATAGAATGGTTAAAAAAGATGTTATTGAAGATTTAAATTTTAAATTTTTGGTTTTAATACGCTTGACAGCTTAAATTAGAAATAAAAATGTAAAAGATTTTTGAGCAGAAGGCAAAATTGTATCGTTAATGTCATATTTTGATTGTCATCAATTATGACAATGATAATGATCATCTTAATTATATTTTAATGAAAATAATGACAAATAGTACGCGCAATCGATCATTTAGCATTATTTATAATCAAAATTATTCATAGCAAAAAAGAAAAATTTTTTAAATAAAATTAAAATATTTGCATATTTTTGAATGTTTTACATACTTACCATAATACGATGAAGTTTACCCACAAATTGAAATTTAAATTTTTATTTAAAAGATTTTTAATAATTCACTAAAAAAAAAAACCCCTTAATTAATATAATGATCAGTTATAATGATATGGAGATAGACTGTGTTCGTCTATACTTGCAGACAATGCAAGTAAAGAAAGAATGGGATTAAATTGGAGAGAGCAGAGAATGATGAAATTAAACGACATAGCATATACTTTAAAGAATTAAGAAATTGTCTGAATAACCTGAGATGTTTGAATAACCTATTAAAAGTAGTGATGGGGGAAGGATGGGAGATTATACTTTCCGGAATTCGGGAAATTCATTCAGTAAGATTTTATAGAACCGTTTAATTCGGATAGTGAGGATTGATGAGTGAGAATTAATAGATCATGTAACTATTCTGTAAAAAAAGGCAGTGATTCTTATTAATGGGTAAGCTTCTCTCCGGAATAAGTTCTCTTCTCGTATGTCCGGTATATTTATTTACGTGCTGGTTGTTACCGTATCCGGTGATAACTCGGAAGAGAGGCAAGGTCTTTATGGTATAAAATGTCCTCATTTCAGGATACATAACAATGAATAAAACGCCTGCTTATAAAGCTCCATTGTTTAAAAATGAGCGTACAACCTTTGAACGAGTGGAGAAGTTTATCTCCGAACATCATTTTAAGGATTGTAACTTACGTGGTCGTCTTTACGGACAATCATATCCAGTTCACGTGAAGCACTATGATTTCGGTCCGGATATTGTAACATTTCATGAAGCTGTCGAAGCTCTTTCCATGCAAGGTAAGCATTGAAATATTCAGACGATAAGGGTTGTTGTTTTTGTCATTTTTTGCAACATAGAATGCACGTTTTTGTATTGTACATCAGCTTTTGCTTAGAGTTAGAGTTCTTCAAATAAATTAGCATTCAGTTTTGTTTTCACGTTTTCTGAGATTTGATCTCACGTTTTGACGTAAAGTAAAAGTATATGGTAACATAACGTTTATTTTATTGCCTCCAAGCTGATTATATTCCTTTCTTCTGCCCTCTTTCCTTACCCTCGCTTCTCTGAAGGTTTGTCCGCAGATCTTTTAGTTTCAAAATTGTTAGAATACACTGGGAGTGATTGTTGAGCAGGATTCATCCTATTTTAAGCAGCAGTGACCAGATCATTTTAAGCCGAAAAATCATATTTCAGGTGCAGAAGTAGGTGTTGGATTCAAATTTGGTCCAACCTGGACAACACACTGGTTTCAAGTTGACATCAGTCTACCCCAGAATTGTCAGACTGAAACGAAAATTGTGTTACGCTTCGATCCTAATTGTGAAGCACTTTTGTGGTCCGTAGATGGTCAACCAATAAAGGGTGTTAATTTGCTTTTATTTAGCTTATTTTGGTTTGGTAGTAGTTCATAGTCTGTATTGACTCCTAATTCATATTTGATTACAGAAGGCATTGTATTACAGAGTACTCCGGACTTTATAGGTTACTGAAATTCCAGATAAGTTAATTTTTTCAAGAAGCGTCAAATATTTCGAAATTAAACATTATTAAATTAAATTGAACTATCAAATTAGATTGAATTATTCCGTAATAAAACCTGGTTGATGTGTTTTCGTAACCTTTCTAATGTCAGGTTTATCTCCGGATTTTGGACGTACAGATCTTGCAATTCCTTCTTCTCCGACTGTACAAAGATTTTACATCGAAGCATCATGTAGTGATCGATTTGGTGACGGTGATGGCAATGCAATAGGACCTGTGAAGATGGATAAAGTATTCGAAGTACTGATCGATTCCACATATATCGTTTAAAATATTTCTTGCGCCGGCACAAAAATATCATTTAAAGAAATTCATATAAACAGAAAAATTGTTGTTTGATTATTACTGTTATAGTTGAAACGTTGTGAATTAGCAGAATACAGTTCAACGATTCACAACCTTATCATCGATTTCGAACTTCTATTGGAAATGTCAAAAATGTTACCAAAAGAAGGGGCAAGGCGATATCAGGCTTTGTATACGGCGAATGATATGGTAAAGCATTTAATATTATGCTCTTTTTTTGAGATGTAACGCCTCATCGCTTCTTTATTATTCAATATTTCAGATCAATTGTCTTGTTTTATCAAATTTTTCATTGGATGCACAAATAAAATGTCATTTACAAGCTGAAAAATTCTTCCGTCAATCAAATGGCGAAAGTCAGATGACGCTATATGCAATGGGCAATTGTCACATCGATACTGCATGGTTATGGCGGTAATTCTCCTTTTTTTGCATGTGTTGTTATATAACTTTTCCAAAACGCTTTTAAATTTTAGTAAGTCCTGCTGCAATTCGGTACTTATATTAAATTTAGGTACCGGGAAACACCAAGAAAATGCGCTCGAAGTTGGTCTGCAACTCTGCGTTTAATGGAGAAATATGAGAAGATGAAATTTGTTGTTTCACAAGCGCAACAAGTGCGGGTTTATTATAAAATATTGTCGGTGAATTTAATTTTTATCCATAATATAGTCAATAACAATTAAAGGGAATGAAATAATTAATCACGAATAGTTGTAGTTAGTATGGTTAAAAGAGCATTATCCGAGTCTTTATGAGGAAATGCAAGATTTCGCAGCAGACGGACGGTTTGTTGCAGTTGGAGGAGCGTGGGTTGAAATGGATGGAAATTTGCCTAGTGGCGAGAGTATGATTAGACAACTATTATACGGACAGCGAGAATTCAAGAAGTTTTGCGGTGTGTAAGTTCTGCTTCCTTCATTAGGTATTACTGTGCATTCAAATTTACCCAGAGGCGAATTTGCATCCAAAGGACAAAACGAAATGGTATTAAATAATAAATTGTTAGAAGCTCATATTCACGTTAATATTTGGATTTTTATTGGTTCCCGCTCATTAATAAAGAACTCGAATTTTCAGTTTCTCAGAGATATTCTGGTTGCCCGATACATTTGGTTATTGTGCACAGCTCCCGCAGATAATGCAGCAGTGTGGAATGCAGTATTTTGTCACTCAAAAAATGAGCTGGTCGATAGTTAACAAATTCCCGCACCATTCATTTCGATGGGTTGGTATTGATGGTACTTACGTAATCGCTCATTTTCCTCCAAATCATTACGTATCGCAGGTATATTCATTTCGTTTCATCCTTATGTTTCCAAAGTCTATAATTCAATGTACAAGTATACTTTAGAAACGTCGGAATGAATGACACTAATTCAATCCTTGATTATATGAAGTTGTTTTCAGATTACAGTGAAAGAATGTTTGGATTCTCGGGATAATTTTACAGACCATGGACGTTCCAACATAGCAATGATGCTCTATGGATTTGGCGATGGCGGTGGAGGCCCGAATACAGATATGTTGGAAAGAGCTGAACGTTTAACAGATTGTGATGGAGTACCTCGAGTACAGCATGCAACACCTCAAGAATTCTTCACTGAGGTTCTCAAAATGTGTAAATCTTGGCTTATTTTTTGGATTGCAATTTCTTTTCTGGTCAGTTTTTCAGTTGGTAAAAGATGTGGACAATTTGTGTAGTTGGGAAGGCGAACTGTATTTGGAATTACATAACGCAACATATACCACGCAAGCCAGGATTAAGAAGATGAACAGACTGTTGGAAAGCATTCTAAAGGATCACGAATTTCTGCAGGTGTTTGATGTAGATTTTAAAAAAAAATTAAGCTTGAAATGAATCTTGGACCATTCCACTGACGAAAATCATTCCAAGCATATATTCTCCATTGTATTTTTTATTTCTACAATGACAGCAAGAAGTCTAACAATTTTGAAGGCAATAGATGTTGCCTTCAAAATACACCTATGAAATGTTTCGTTTCAGTTTTTGATTTTACATATTCGTAGTAACTCATGTCTTTTTTTTCTTCAGTCAATGTCACTTCTTGAATTCAACGTGGGCAAGCCTCTTACATCGCAGTGGCAACGTTTCTTACTTAATCAGTTCCATGATGTGCTCCCAGGTAGTTGTATTAAAGAAGTGGTAGATGATGCAATCAAGATTTACACCATTTTATTGGACGAGCTTGCTGTCGATGATGGAAAAAAACTGAAATGGAAAGGTTTGTAGGCATGGAAAAGTTGCAATAAACTATAATTTTTAATCCATTGAATGCTTTCCAATAAAAATAGTGAAGTTGCAGGTGAAAGTTATGAAGCAATACCGAATGAATGGGTAATTAACAGTTGTAACTGGCCGAGAATTTTGTTTCACAATAATCGTTTTCTACGTTTGGAGCCGTTCTCTATTACGCGTTTGAATGAACTTGAAGTATTCAAGTTATCTTTAAGCAATAAACCATTAGGTTTGGAAGATGGTCATGAATTCAAATTGCAAAATCGTTATATCACTGCATCCATTGATAAGGTAATTTCACAATAATCCACTGAGGTTTTATGAATTCAACAACAGAATAGCAAGAGGTGAGCAGTTTTTTCGCAGAAGATTTCACAGAAGATCTGATCAATACGAATAATTCGAAATTGAGTGAGCTCATTTCCTAGAGCGAGCATTTACTTATTGGTTGCAAATGTTACTATGTTGATGTGAACAGATTTTCTTCTCTCCGAGAGAAGAGAGAAATTTTCTTCTCTCCAGATTTTCTTCTCTTCTCTTCTCTCTTTTCTCTCGATTTGGTAATAGCTAAGTCGAACTTGAGAAATTGACTTATTCTGGTCACAATCCCACTTTCTTGTTTTTAATAAAGTATAATCACTTGGCAAACAATTTGTTCATTTAGATTTGTCCATTTCAATTCATTTATTTTGTTCATTTAGATGGGTCGCATTACGAAACTATTAGTGCACTCCGTGAATAAAGCAAGCAATATCAAAGAAAATTTCGCAGCAGTTTCTAAAAATAAATTCGCTAATCAGTTTGTCATTTTTGATGATGTACCACTTTTTTGGGATGCATGGGATGTGATGGATTACCATTTGGAAACACGACAAGTCATTGATTCGGTTAGTTGCTCCTATCTCTTATGATCGGCAATTTCTTAGCATTATTTATTGGAACAACATTGCTATAAAATTGTGCTTTGCCTTTCCAGTGGTTCGAAATTATTCTCGGAATTATACATTTGCATTGATTGCAGGATTCGCAGGCAGTTCTAGTTAAAAATACACCGCTGGAAGCCTGTATCCGTGTAGAATTTGCAGTAAGTGAAAAAAGCTCTCTAATGCAGTACATTACCATATTTGCACATCTACCTTACCTGGTTTTCGACGTCACGGTGCAATGGCATGAATTTCATAAATTCTTGAAAGTTAGTTACAGTACTCAAAATATTCACAAATTATTTTCCATTTCTCTCCTGAGTATATTTTCTAATTGAGGGAACAAAAGGATCCGTTTCTTTTCTTTTTTTTAGGTTGAGTTCCCAACAAATGTCCGTGATATGGATGCTTATTATGATATACAATTTGGTCATGTAAAACGACCAACGCATCGAAATACGTCTTGGCATGCTGCAAAGTATATTTTTGCTTTGTCTTTCTAAATATTTCTATCATTACTAGCATTGTCTCTCCTTGTTTGCTAGTAATTTATCACTCTTAATTAAATTTCTAAACTTGACCATTTAATTTTGCTACAGAAACAGACAAAAGTCTCAGGGGATTCAAAACAGTTCAACCAATATTGATAGAATGATGGGATGTGGAAAGCATCATTAGGCAGTTATCGAGATTTTGGTCAAGATTTGAGACTTAAGCAGGAAAATTGTGGTCTGTTCTATGGAGCAAAGAAACGACATGTTTTAATGCTTCTATTTTCAAAGATTAAAAAGCAAATTAATAATGATCTAATAAAAGTACAGATTCTATAGAGCAAAGAAAAAGAAATCCGTTTGATATGGTATTGTATTTGTTTTAAAATATTTAAGATATGAAGTTGTTGGACACAAATGGATGGCTTTAACTGAATTTGATCAAGGCATTGCACTTTTGAATGACTGCAAATATGGTCATTCATGTATTGGCAATACTATGACGTTGTCGTTACTTAGAGCCAGTAAAATTCCAGATGATACTGCTGATATGGGAGAGCATAAAGTATTTTTTGTCATTTTCATTATTTGATTAATTTTGCTTTTTCCAGTTGTAACTTTTGTATTGAATGCATTACTCTCTCCTGTAGGTATCAGCAAAGAGAACATTTGGTGTTATGAATGTAAATTATAACATATAGAAATGTAAAGTGAGTTAAGAAGAAAGTTTGAATGCTTAGATTTCATGAACGTCGCTTCTGATGTGAATACGCTTGGAAAATTGGAAAAATTTTAGTAAATCTAATTTGTTTGAATCTGAGACGGTTGAAAATCTGTGATTATTCAGTTTCGTGCTTCTCCCTTGCTCGTTTCGAACCCTGTGGTAATGTAACCATCTATGGACAAAGCATCAGCATTGTCACAATATCAGACGTTATTAAACAAATTCGTTTTATTTTCTGCTAATTAGGATGGTTTAAAACGTTTGGTCTTCATTAACGAACAGAAAGGATTATTTGATTTTTGGGATTGGCTTGCGTTATTTAGGTTTCTTTTTTTTTTTTTTGAATCATAAATGGTCATTGTTTCCAGTTTTCATATGCACTGTATCCTTTCATCGGTTCAATGCAACGGCCTTGTAACGACTTGAATTTGAGCGTAATGAGAGCGGCTTACGAATTTAATAATCCCACTCGGTTTGTCAGTGGTTGGCATGCTAAAAACAAGCTTTCATCGTTTATCAAAATCGACGGAAGTGAAGGTTCGTTTGTCTTTTTTGAAATAATTGAATTTTTTTTAAATTGAAAATAGCTCAGATTGCTTATATCAGGGATGGACAATCAATTTTTCCAGTGAGCCACACAAAGAACTGGGATAGTTTTCGGGGGCTGGACTAATATCCTTAACTCAGTTCTATCCAATACCGTATCGGTATATGTGAAAAACAGTAAATGAAACATTGTGATGGATTCAATGATAATGTGAAGAACCTAATTACATCATTATTTAATCTTGAGGTTCATCATCTCAACAGGTGATGAATAGTGATGAAAGATCAACGGACTTTAACATTAGGAGGGTTTTATTTGAGGTAAGGGAAGGGCGAAGACGGGGCAGGTTTCTCCCGCAGTTTTGAAGGCAGAAAAAACTTACTGGAGAGCCGCCAGATGCCCAGGTTAGGCTTATATGGATCCATCAAATATATGGTTTTTCGAGTATTTGACTCTCCATCTACTTTGATAAAACTACGATAAAATTTATCCGTTGTTACAGTGGAAACTTCTTACATTTATTGGTTTCTTGATCCATCATGTTTACAGGGTAGCTAGTGAATCGCATGCAATTTAATTTTGGGATTGGGACAGTAAGTGACAAAAAACTGAAGGAATGTACCAAGTGTTTCTAATTAAGATTGTATTTTCCATTTAATTATAGGTATTGTTATTGACACTGTAAAGCCAGCTGAAGATGATGTCAATACACTGATTATTCGCTTATTTGAATCATTCGGTGGCAGTGTTAGTGTAAAACTTAGAATTAACCATAGTCGTATTGTTTCCGTTGATTTGGGTGATGGCCTGGAAAGGATAGTCTCTGCTTTACCCGTCGAAACTGATGATTCATCGGCAGAAGATCAATATGAAGGTTTTATTAATTTAGATTTTCGTCCCTTCGAAATAAAAACTTTGTTACTAAGATTGTTTGCGTTGTAATAAATCACAGTGACTTATTTAAATTGAATTCGATGTAGTGAAGAATTTCTTTGATTTGTCGAAGTACATAACCAGTGAAGAAGGAATTATTGAAAGAATACAAGATTTAAATATTCTTTATACCCGAAATAAAGCCTATGATTTAGTAGTTGAGTTGCAGCTTTGGTTGTGATGTCTGTAATAAATTGTTGAATTCCTTCTTATTGCAAAAGGAATTCGTTACTTTTATCTTTATCAATCAACTTGTATCTTTATCTTTTTTTTCGAATTTTTGTGACAAAGCATTGTAGAAAGGCTATGCATATCTTTATATTGGAGTACTTTTTATATGAATTGCGATTTTTTGATCCCTTCACTGGAATTTCCCCAGTTCCTCTGAATTGCAACATTCTCAAAATCTTTATATGATCCCGAAAAAAATTCTAATTCATCATATCTGTTATATTCATTATGGTACCATACACATTTTCTGATGATATAGCTTCTTAATACACTGCTGGTAATCGGTTTGAAGTGCAACATAATCTTTTATTCACGGTGTTTTTTATTTCTGTTTAGTAAAAAATAATATACTTCTTTATATTAGAGGCACGAATCACGTAATTTGGTAGTTGTTACTATCATTTTAGTTTTATTTGTTATCGGGTTTGAACTAATGCAAATCTGCAAGTCTATAGTGGATTAATTAATGAACTTGACAGCTAATGTTGTATGCTTCATTTGCTGATGATTGTATCCAGCTATATACATCCGATTTTCTGTATTTTCTTTAAATAAAGCTTTGTTGCATTGAATACTGGAACAATTTTAATGGTCCTTTAATCTTTATTGTAGTTAAAACATAACCTTCATCTGTCGTACTACATATTTTGAGGCTTGAGTATTGTTGATTAGGTTGTAAACATTGAGCATAAGCTTGGGATTAATGACGTAACTCCATTACCTTATCTCATTATTATTATTAGTGTCATTATCACCTTTATTACTATTACTATTAACTATTATTTTTATCATTAATTACTATTATGCAGTTATTTGCCTGATTTGGGTGTGTAAATCGGTTTTATTCGGTTTGTTATAAACTATAGAATACTGTTCACGTTATTTCATTATTATTACGAGTAATTCTATTGGCATTATGTGCACAATTTCGAATGCAAAACATTTTATTTAAAATAAAGTTCAAATAATAATCTGATATTCGCATATACACAAAAAGCAGCTATACAATCCAAAAAGGATACCTTATCCGAAATTAAATCCTATAATATAGTTTAATTTTCCATGCATACATTTTACTCATAAATATTCGATCTTTTAGATTTAGAATTAAATAACGTATGGAAACATCATAAATGTTATTCCTATTGGTATGATTAATCCATTAAAATTTTTCATTTATTAAAATACAATTTGATTCAATTATACGATTGATAAAATTTCAACAAAACAAAGGAAGAATTTAAGAAATTGTAACATTCAATATCATATCAGTGATACAGTTAAATTGTAGGAAGAACTTTGCTCATTTATTAGTAAATGAAAGCAACAAGACATGTTTACAACATAATTTATCCTCTTTAACGGAGTAGTAGTAGTACCACCATCTATCAATGCTCACTGTACTGTAATTCATTTATGTAAACATATATTTCACATTCATAGAATTACAATCAGTCTGAAAGATAGACATAATATCAAATTTTTCTGTTATAATAAAAAATTTTCCAATTCAATTTTCATTTCAATTTTTGATTTTAATTATTTTGATTATTGCTATTTCTTTCTATCACATACTCAATATCTGAAAGTTGCGGGAAATATTTCGCTTTGATACATCAATCTACTTCTATGTATATATCTATAATTTTGTATCTTTCTGATAATGATAATGTTAACATTTGTGTGCTGAAGAATCTTGGATTAATTATTAATTATCTCCTCAAATTAATTATTTTCTCGAAAATTTATATAATTGTTATTTATTTCCATAGCGGTATATAAATGATGGAAGTATTTTAATGAATGTTATCAAATCAATAAAAATGAAAATTTAGAAATGTTTAAGTGTTTTAGTTAATTAATTGCTTAATTAATCGATTAATTCGTATTCATGTGACACATTAATGCAGATAACAAAGTGATGACATCTTTAAGATAAGATTATTTGTTAAATAACAATTAATAATAATGATAAAATTTTAGATAATCTATTATAGGATAAAATTATTAAACTGTTGCAAGACTTATTCCAGTAGATCGATTAAACGGTTAGCGTTCCGGTCTATTTCCGGTTTCCCATTTACCATTATCCATTCAATAAATGGATGCATTATTTTCCATTAGTTTTGGATAACAATAATAATTATATACTTCTATTGATCCCACCAAAAATCAATAAAATTTCAATGTAATTAAAAGCAGAAAGAAGGATAGATAAATATTTTGTTGCAAACATTAATGATAATAATGGGACTTTTTTTTTTCTTTCTATTATCATCTATTACAGTAACAAAAAATAGATGTGAAGTAATATTTGTTTAGTTAATTAATTAACTAATTAATATGGGCGAACTTTTTTTTTGCTTGTTGAATGTGATACAGGATGCTGTTTAAAATTCCGCTTGGAGTGTGAATCACAAGCGTTTTTTTTTAATTTTTTCGATCCATAATTAATTAATTAAGTTAATCAGTTTTAAGTAGTTTAGCAGTAATAGTTTGGTAATAATAGTAATATTTCAATTCCAAACAGGATGAATAATCAAATGCATTTTGCGTAGTTTTTGCACGGTATAAATTGAAATGTGTTGTTGATATAGTTTAAAAATAAGTTGAACTTAAATTAAATTTAATTGATTCGAACTATTTCGCTCAATTTTTCTACAGGTAAGCTACGAATAGGTTGGAAATGTTTACTTTACCTGAAACAAATAGTAAGCTTGTCAATGAATTGGTAAATTAGTTAATTAATTCATTGATAAGTTTATTGATTGTCAAAAAAAAACTGGTCGTGGTAATTAATTTCAGAGAAATTTAAAGTTTCATAAATTTCTTCCAGATATTAGTATTTGAGTAACTGAAAATGTTGCAAATATTGATTATCACAAGTATTTATCATCAATTATTAGTCATTCTCATAATATGCTAACTTTTAATTCATTTTCAATTATGTTTTAATTTACAATTTTTTATTTCTTCATCAAAACTTTACGGTATACATCCAAATATAACGAGATTATTTTGCAGTAATTACTCGCAATGTCCTATATTTCATTAATTATTCGTAATTATTTATCTTTTAAAAAGGCAACTTATTCTAAATTATATTTAATTGATCAATTAATGGATCGATTTTTTTTCTTTTTTTTGAAACTTTCTGACTAATTCATATAACGGTTTTAATTTTGATGTTCGCATTATTGATTTTAATAATATTATCATATGAAAAAAGTCTAAATTACGGAAAAGTTTCCTTTTTCCTTTTTCTTGTATACGAACAGTAAAATTATGAATGAAAGATACAAATATGATAAACTTATTGGTCTATTTAATAGTACTAGAGTAGATATACTTCTGAGATATTTTAATTCATAATTTTTCAATTTAAAATTTTAAAAGATGATATATCAGAGAGAATGTAATTTGTCCATTCCTTCATCTTCAACTCTTCACTGTCTCCCCATTGTTTAATTCAATGGGAAAAACAAAAAACCGGCTTTGATATTAATAGACAAATTAAT